AGTTTGATGGGCTGAGGTTAGATTTCTTTTGTTTCTGTATTTATTTTTTTGGATTGTTTCTTCTTCAGGTCACAGGTTTTGGCCTTGAGTCTTTGATTTATTTATTCTTGGGGGTTATGTTTTGCTATCAAATTGAGGAAATTTGGTTGCGAAAAGGAATATATATTATTTACTGTGATTTCATAAAAACAAATTCTTTGGGTGTTTTTCTTTTCTTTGTGTGTACAGCAAAGTGTACAAACTAAACTGTGTTCTGTTACATTTACTCAGTTCTCTCATAGTTTCAGATATATTGTTTGTTTTCCAGACAGTGAGAGATCAGAAACTGGTCAAGTGCATGTATAAGCCATGTGCTTGTAACTGGACAGTGGTATAAAATCATTTTTGCTTCTAACCGAAGATCCGATTAGGCTCACATAACTGCTTAAGCTGTGCCGATGTGATGATAAAGTGGTTTGGAGATTCGGTTAATTAGTCCATATCAAGGTTTAGTGATCCGGTTATTCATTTAAACAACATTGATTCTCGGCACCATCGATAGTTTTTTTTTTATCTTGGAGGCTCTTCACAAGGAAAATATATTTATTTCATTCAATACATCAGAGATTACAAGAGTAGAATTTATTTAGGAATAGTAAAGCTCCAATCACAAACAATTCATATTCCACAAACCCTTAGCTCTTAATTTCTGGTCCACAATCTCATGGCACAACGTAACCTGCCACATCAAGAATATCAACACATTAGGATCTTTAGTAAGACGTTCCATTTTTACAAGATTAAAGCCATAAGAGAATAAAGCTTCATTATTAATAATAGACTTACTTCCACACTTGGAACCATGAGCAAGAGGCTTCCCACAAAAGGCAGTGACATGAACAACCTTATCCATGTCTATTATTTTCTGGACTGAGGCTGTGATACGGCTACATGCGCAACCTATGTCTGATCTTTTAACAACTCCGCAACACGCTGCGGATGGGTTTATCTTTGGGCCTGGACGCTGCACATAGACCGCGCATTCTTTCATTAGACCTTGGATGTCTCCTTGGCACGTTCCTTGCCCTGAAACTAGTAGTGATCCTGAGATTATAAGGATTATTGTTATACCAATGAAAACACGAGAATCTATCACCATTTTTTAGTTCGAATGTAGTGAGTGTGGCTTTGAGTTTTTGGTTCAAGAGAAGTTGTTTAAGGGCTATATATAGTGGCTTAGCGAGGTTTTAGGGTTAGTGTTGCATGTGAGTATTTTGTTTTTTAAGTTTTTCTTTTTCCTATTGGTTTCATGTGACAAAAGACTTAATTTTTTTCTGTGAGATTCTGATGATTTTCCTCGTAACTACAACTTCATGGCAACCAGTGCATGAACTTATATTTGTTTTTTGGGGTCGACATGCATGAACTTATATATATG